TCCTTCCGTAGCAATTATTCAGTTTTGAACCCATGCCGCAAAAGCTTCTATGATCAAGGAGCGGAATTGCATGCAGAAATATCAGACTATAATAGGCTTGTCGGTTCTAATACTAATTCCAAAAACATTTTCGTTCAGAGGGTCCCAGTTTTACTTCTGTAGATTTAACATGCACTTATTGTTAGGTCCTTCAGCGTGTTAATTTTATTCCCGTTAAACATTTCAGAACATCCGAAAATAGCTAAAGTTTACAGCCAGTTTACAGATTTGATTTACCGTTTTTATTAGGTATTTTTCCTTGTTTTTCTGGACAGATACATTGTACACCCATATTTTTGGTGCCAACTGCTCCCAATGTTGTCGGGTTTTTAACAGTAGGTCATAAACATTTTTCTCTAGTTTGTCAAGCTCCCAGTTTGCCAGACCATACCGACGTAATTTGGTAGCAAAGTGCACGCACTCAACACAACCGGAGAAGCACGAAATATTTCTTTATTCACCAAAAATAACCCTTTAAAAGAAAAAGTAACCAAAACGCAAAGTTGTGCTAGAAACGGTTTTACCCGCCCTTCGGATCTTAATTCTTTATTTTATTTTTTTTTCTCTTTCGGCCCCCTCGTCTCTGCGCCCTCTAATCCATGCGCATGCTAGTTCGCGTTCAACGACATGAAACAGAAAGTAGGGCGACGCCGAACTCCGTATAAAAACGCCTTTTCGGACCGACGCAAAATTTGAGTATTTTTCACACCTCGCTCAGTGGATACGCGTTCACCGACTGCAACCGTCGCAAGTTTGCTGCGTCGACATCCCCCATCTCCATCGGGAACGCGTTAAAGGCGCTGATTCGTCTAATTATGATTCTTCAGGTAAGTTAGTTCTTCAAGGTCATTCTACGGTGCCTGCCAACTTAAGAAACCCGGGGCGTGTCCTTTCTTGAGCATCTTATAACCGCTACTCACGCAATCTGATTTCGGCATTAACTGAGAAGAAGGCCGAAGACCAAGCGCCGAAACATTAAGCGTAAACACGACAACTTACGCCCTTATTTTCCTATGGTGATGGTGACTATGCTAGACGTGCTGGTTGACAGCTTAGCTGCCAGTTGATACCCAAAATAGCGGTAAACTGCCTCCAGTTTTTATCATGAGCAGGTCTGTGTACGCAATAAAAATCTACATTTCTTTCCCAATTTCGTTTTTTTTTCGTTTTTTTTTTTTTTTTTTGGTGGGGGGGGGGGGCGGCGGAAAGTTTTAAATTTATGAAGAAATAGAGATTTAAGCGCAGAGCATAACATGGCGCTTATTCTAGACTGAAGAATAATAGAATATTTCAGCACAACTATCAATACCAAAACACGCAAACAACAACAACAACAAGGGAATAATGTATCTAGCAGCAAACTATGCTGGTAGTCGCAAAGGGGAAACTTGAAGTGTGTTTCTAACATAACTGAAGGAAAAGAAATACGTGTGAGAAGAGGGACTAAAAAAAAGGTTCTGAATTTTCTAATTGCATCCTCGAGCTGCACATGATTTGTCATGACTGAGTATGACGTGTTTCCAAAAGGCAAAGTAATTTTCCGAATACTACCAATTAAGCCCATGCCCTTTGTTTCAACTGCGCCACGCGTGAATTAAACTTTATTTGGTTTAGATTAGAGGTAAAGTATGCATAGAAACATATTTCTAACACTACCCTAGTTTAATATAATCTCTTTTGGGACTACAAGATAATCACATTCCGCATGGCACAATTAAAGTAATATAAAACAAACATCCCAGTGCGAACAATTCCTACTTTATGTGGAGTGCAGGTACAAATTTTGATATATGACAGAGGTTAAAAGTCGGATTTTGATGGTTTGTGTTTCAAACTGAATGAGAGCGTAAATGGTGCCTCACCTAAAGTATCAAGATCGCGTTATGCAAAAATATTAAAATACAAACAAACTTTGGGAGTCCTGACCAGTTGTTAAATATATAAATAGGGTATTATATAGGTCAGTGACTCCAACAAAACGTTATGAAAAGCGGAGCTATAGAAAACACGTTAACTACGAAGGAGGTAGTGTGTGTAAAACCGAGACGATTTTGCCAAAACTCGGGAGCTGTTGACAGCCTCTGAATCTCCCAGAGAACCTTCTGAAGTACACTGACTGACTGACATACCAGACTGCCGTTTCCAGACTTTCTTTCAAAACAAAAATAAAACTGTAAACCACTTTCAAGTCATTCGTCTACGCAGGAGGCATCTTCTTGACGTTCCCGTACGATGTGCGTCCCCATTCATTCTACCCATCAGCGTCGTTGTACATTTATCACCCTTCAAACGTGTATTTCCTGGACGTTGAAAAAATTGCCCATTTGTATATACTTTTCATGTTATCTTTTTTTAGCGAGCCTCCCGTCTTGATGTTTATAGAAAGAAATCAAAGCAAGGGCGAAACGGAACGCTGCGCGTAGGGAAGTGAACTTATCTTTGGCCAGACTCCGGAATGGTATATGGATGTTAAAGGAAGAGGTAGTATATATCGATAGGCCGAGCGCGCTGCCGTTCCAAAGAAGACTTCAGTTTGACCTTGTTCGCTTTTGCGCTCGTTCACTCCTCTTTTTCTAGTGTGGGACTGGAACGGATGAGACCCTCGGCACAGGCACTAACCATATGGCTTAGCATGTGGTTTACGGTGTCGTTAAGCGGAACCATAAATTTTTAAAAAAGCGGGGAGCATGCTGGTCGGTTCAAAATTCTAGCCATCAGCTTCGGAACATGTTTCGCGTAGATAGTTTTACGAGAAGTAACACTTTGATCCAAGGATACAGGAAGCCGGATGGCCGTAATGCCTGGAAAGTGAATTAATTTCATTGCGGTATAAACGGCCTTCGTGTCCACTAGAACTACTTCAGTGTGTTTGGTTTTAATATAAAATTTTACTTGTTCTTTTTAGGCTTGGCGCGGTCAGATGAATGGCGTATTTGGAGATCTCGTGAATACATATTACGGGGAAGAACCTAAGCCTGGTTTTGGAATTCGCAGAAAGTGCCGACTGGCATCCCCGTTATCAAATACGGAATGAAATGTAGTAAGATATCGGGTTGGCTGGGAGCTGCTACCAAATATTTTTCAAATCTTGGCTGCTGTTTTAAGTTTTGGCAATCAATAATTAAACCCAATCTAAAAAAAATGATTGGAAAGTAATACTGACTAGACTTTCTTTCAATGAGATCATGAATTTATAAGTTTTAAGTAATCAAGAGTAGCATACGTATCCCAGAAATGTTTTTTTAGTTCATGGGCTACCTGAATAATATTAACATACATTAAGTTAAACATTGCGGAGTATCTTTATTTTCTTTTTCAAATTTCAAGCACAGAAGTCATTTTCTTGAGTATCACGGACGCAAAACTTTGCGCATACACAACAGGGAAATCATAGCAAAGATTATATGTAGTACATGTCAAGAGTGGTGTTTGGTTTAGACATATAAACAAACAGGAGCATATAAAGAAAAATATTTTGTTTTAGTTGTTTTAGATATACACTCTAAGAAACGACTGTGCATCTAATTACCCGAAAAACACTCAAAGAGCCAATCTCTGTGATCGAAGAAATCAGCACAGCGAAAGATGAGGCAGAACATCCGTTTAGACCTAAAACTAAAGTCTGCGCTGTCGCACTACTCAATGCAAGCATGACGCTTTGCATTGCGTAATGCCACAGCGCAGACTTTACTTTTAGGTCAAACGGATGTTCCGCCTCATCATCCGCTGAGTTGATTTCGTAGATCGCAGAGATTGTCTCTTTGAGCGCTTTCCGGGTAAGTAGACGCGCAGGCATTTCTTAGAGTGTACAAACAAACCTCAGCGTAATGTGTTTTGTTTGCCTTTCCTTACAGTGGCTGGTCATTGTGACGACAGTTTCAGCAGCCCTTGCGGGCTACGCCCGGCCAGCTCCCTTGGTCGCAGCCCCTGCGGTCGCCGCACCTGTAGTTGCAGCACCAGTTGTCGCGGCGCCGGCTGTTGTGGTTGAGGCAAGACGCCCATTCCCGTTCCTTGTTATTACTAATCACAACTCCGGCAGCGTGTATTTATTTCATTTCCATCTTTGTCGCATTTTGGCCACTAGGTGGCTCCTGTTTTCGCTGCACACTTGGATTGGCGGTTTCTCGCCACTTCGCTGTTACGCGTATTTTCCGCTAGGTGGGGTCGCCTCCTCTGGAGTTGCGAATACTCTGTTGTTACATAAAGACTGCAGAAGAGGCCTTTTTTTTTAAATAATGCTCCAATCAATTTTCATTGCGTTGATCCGCATGAGAATGAGACATTTTTGTATAAGCCAGTGCTGTTAACATTGCGCTAGCGGATGTTCCTCTTTTTCTCTGATATCAGCAATGCGTTGCGCTCCAGCTTAGACGTCTGTTGTCACCAATTAACTCATCAATTTACTCACCATTATCTTAGTTCAAGAGTGATTCCCTTTTCTGCGTAAGTTTAGCTGAGGTACTTCATCTACACTCTAAGAAATCCACGCGAGTAGCACTTTGGCGTCATGCACTCTAAGGCCAATTCATTAGTTTACTATTAATCGTCCTATTTGATTAATACGGTAAGCGGTTTCGTGCTGCAAAAGACAAGTAGCCGATACTTAGTTCCAACTTACGTCCGAGCGCAGTCAATGCCACAAGCTAATGTGGTTAATCAAGCAGAGGCAAAAGTGGCGGCCTTAGTAACCTTACTTTTCCTGTGATATAAACCGCAAACCTAATCAACTACAATGAAAAGAACCTTGCAATTAGTGCAGATTTGTACTTTTAGTATGTATGTGTATTTTTATGTGGGCAAATCTTTGCCAGGCTCGAACGCATGCTGAAAAAGTTTATTAATTGAAAACGCGCACATGTCTTTGCCCCCGAAAGTGCTACCACTACAATGCATTACTACTCGCCTTCCCTACTGGCTAAACCGGGCGAAAGTTGACCACTAGTTGATGCTTCGAGTTCATCATGGGTAAGATTGCTTACTGGCATTTCTGAGAGTTTACTCGAAACGAAATGAAGCATTAACAATCGCATAATCGAGCAGTCACAAGGTTCGCACAAAGTTATCGTTTTATTAGAAAACGAGATCATCGCTTTTGTGAAAAGTGCTTTCTTACTTATTCATAAAATACTAAATAAGGCAAGCGAGTAAAAAGAAGCTAAAAATGTGTTTTACCAAAAATGCGATTCATGCGCTATACTTGATATCTTAAACCCTATGCTCACTACCCCAGTGTAGGGCGTATTTTTGCCACACCGCGCAATCTCTGAATTTCCGTGCGTAAGATACATTTCGTATATCTCAATAAATGTCTACTCAAACGCATGCCAGCAAAAAATAATAATATTAAAGATGACTGGGATTGTTTTTATAAATATATTAACTTACGTGAGCAAATGCCGCACCTTAAATATGTTAAACGTCTAGGTCTTTTCGGGAAGAAACGGATGTCTTAAAAAAAGTAGTCGGCCGAAATAAATCAACACACACTAATGTACTATCTGAATGTGATCTCAGCTTTCAAGTGTGTTGTTTACAGAGATACTGTAAAACAGCCAAATTTATCGGTAGCAGGAGGCAGGTGGGAGGACGAAAAAGGCACAGAAGCTAGAAACTGAAAATGTTCATGCTTACACTTCACAGCGCACAAGAACAGACACACTTGAAAAGTTCACTCACACAAAGAACAGAAACAAAGAACAACAACAAAGTTAAGTCACACAAAAAACACAATCTGGAGAAAAATAAATAGCACAAAAAACAGAAAATTAACAATACACAAGAATGTTCATTGTTCAGTGGCAATGTCTTAAATTCAAAGGGGCTTTGGTGAAAACGATGTCATGACTCCTCCTTACAGACATGGCTGACAACTTATATTTTCTTCATTTCCGTCTTTTATCCCCGAAACAGCCTCCCCAACCATACAGTTTCGGTTACGACTCCAAGGACGAGTTCGGTACGCACCAATACCGCAACGAAGTCAGCGACGCAGGCAACAACAAGCGTGGAAACTATGGCTACAAGGATCCCGTAGGGGTGTTCAGGCAGGTCGAGTACGTCGCAGACGCCGCCGGCTTCAGGGCCAATGTATTCACCAACGAACCCGGCACGGCTCCTTCAACGCCAGCCGCTTCCGCCTACAATGCGCAGCCCGTTGCTGCCACGCCGGTCGTCAGACCGGGTGTTGTGGCCGCCGTGCCACATCCAGAGCCTCTAGTTGCCAGAGCGGTCGCCCGACCTGTAATCCGGCCGGCACCTCTGGCACAAGTGGCCGTCCCTGCTGCTTCTCCTTTCCTTTACGCACCACCACCAGCTCCACCGGTAGCGGCTCCGGTACGGTACGCAGCCCCTCTGCCGGTGGCGAGAGCCGCCCCCGTTCTAGCGCAAACGGTACATCAGCCAGCAGCTGTGGTACATCGTGCGGCTGTGCCGGCGCCCGCACCATACGCGCTCCCGCCGACTCGAGCTGCGGTTGCGCCGCCGTACGGACCTGCTGCTGCCCACGCAACAGCCGCGCCAGTACCAGCAGTTGCACCTGCCCCGGCATTCGCTGCGCCAGCATACGCTGCACCAGCCGTTCCTGCCCCGGCTTACGCTGCCCCAGCTTACGCTGCCCCAGCTTACGCAGCCCCAGCTTATGCTGCCCCGTCCTATGCGGCGCCAGCAGTTGCGGCTGCACCGGCTTACGCCCCGGCCCCCGCGTATGCGGCGGCAGCGCCACTGGCTTACGCCAGTGCCCCTTACGTGAATTATTATTAATTTGTAAATACTTTTAATATATTCACCATTAAAATGACATTTTTCGCAGTGTTTAGCCAGGTGCCGGGCCTGAAAGACTTTGACCTACTCTTTTGTTGAGTGTTAGTGCTGGGTCTAGGTAAACCTAGTACGGTAAGCCAGCTATCCAGATGTCCCCTACTTCAGTAGCCGTCATTGTTTATACATCCGCAGCTGTAGCTGTGTTTTTTTTTCCTCCGCGATATCGTTTAATGTGCAACTTCAGAAAACGTCGAAATTTGATGGAAAATACTGCACTTATGTCATCCATCCTTCATTACGTGTATGGTCATCTATGTTTTTAGCCAATTTGTGTGACAAACCGTATATCTTCATTATGTTTGTATTATACTCTGTCACTTTTAAGCTTTCGCTAATTCACTCGCCTAACATTGAAGACTCATTGCATATAACAGACGTCATAATGAATTAATCACTATTTGTGTGTCTAACAAATATGCGTGTCTCCTAGCAAATACCGTGTTTTGACTGGCTTCAGGCGTGCTAAAACGTAAGGGTAGAAATCATGCAGTGTAGTGTATATATGTGAATTGTATGCGCGTTCCCTTTCAAATAAATATTCCAGATATATTATTTCAGAATTAGTTTTCGAAATACCAGTGTTCAAAATGTCAGCGTGTATGCAGTAATAAAAGATGTACCAATATCAACGTCTGTCTCCCCAACTCAGCAAAATATCCTCCGGTGATCTTTATATAGTTTTCTCGCACAAAGAGAATGACAATACTGTGCGTTAACCCTAATCTCACTGAGAGCCCATTCACATAATCAACAAATGAAAGCACTGTCGTTTAGAAACTGCACGTTTGGTTACAGCATCAATATATAGTCATTCACAAGTCAATGAAAGGCGTATTCCCATTGTTGCAAGATGGCTGTTAGTTTGCAAGGTTTTATGAAGGCATGATTGCCTGAACTGAACCCACTTTTCCTATAGTATTCGGAACTACTAAAGCAGTGTTTCTAAAAAGAAAGTTCAGTCAAAAGGAGCAGAAAGTGCGCGACCACAGCAGCATCGTAACCGGCACCAAGTCGCATATTGCCCCCTTGGTTATGATACGGACTAAGACGTGGTCCGGTGAACGGAGAGGTGTCTGAACGCCGCGACCTCGCCGAGAAGCAGGTGTGGCGAAGGTTCGCACGTATTTCTGACAACCGCTGTGAGATGGCGCAGCGTGAAAGGGACCGATTAAAGCCAATCCAAGAGCCGTCCTCATTTGCACACAGGTTCATAAGGCCGTGCTGCGCGCCACCGCGCGTGCGGGAATGCCACAAACCGACAGTGCTCCTGCTGGAAAATTCCCTAAGCCCGAGAAAACATATGCCGTCTTGATGGGCCTTGTTCAGGCACCCGTTTTGTTTCGTCTCCCATGGTCTCATTCAAATGTTTGATTATTTTAATGCACGTCGGAAAGTAAGAACTAGCACCAGAAGATTAAAAAAAACGCTTAAAAATTGTGTTTTAAGTTGTTTCATCAGTTAGCCTATGGCACACAAGTTGGACTCGCCAACTCCAACAATACGCCCTTTAGCAGCCAGTCACGTGTTACGCCTTGTCGGTCACTTTGAGTTATTATCTTCATTGCCAGTGCCGTGAAAATTTAGTTAGTGACTGGGGTTCGTACATTTACTTACCTTTACAGCCGAGGGATTTCTCGTAACCTGCTTGACATTGTACTTCCGAGGACTTACTACGAGTGTATGGCCAACGGCATTCTCTTTATTTAGTGCTCTCTTCAAATGCGACTCTGGTTCCAATTGATTTAAGAGATGTCTTACTTGCACGCTGCGGCCGCTTCCAGAGCTGATATTGAGAAAAGGTGCCATAGCACGCAAAATGCTTAGCGTGTAAATCAGCTGGTTAATAGAGTGTACACCCACTAAGCACCCTGTTAACGAAATTTGGGTAAGGAGGTGCTGTGAACCGTTGGCAGTCTGCCATCTCACCCGTGCCTGCAACGTTGTTCGATACCCAAATAGATAGCCTTTGTGCGTTAGTTCAAATAACGTTCGTTCTCAATGCTGGCATTTTTATTAATCAAGGTGCTCTATAAATGCTTATCACGGCAATTACACACCCGTCCAAGTTTAGACACTTCAACTGGGTGTGAGAAAACAACACAAGATCTGTCCGGCAAATTGGCGCCTGCGAGCCTTTGGCACACGCGACGTGTAAAAATAGCTTACAGGATACTTTGGGGCCCGTTTCTGTACGGCCTTCTTCCGCAAGTTAGATCAAAGATTGATGGACGGAACAACTATCTAGAATCGGTAGTTTTTATCAAAGGTGTTTGGGCATGAGAAGTTACACGCGGAAGATATGAAGAGGCAAAAATAGGATTTCTTCTCGCTTGTTCCCATCATTAAATACCCGGTGGAAAACGAACCGATGCAAGTTAGAGGAACGGTCCCCTCCGCCACTTTGATTCTGTCAAAGAGCAACCAAGCCACGTTGAAGGAGCCAGTAGAGATTGCTTACGGCTTATAACTGGTTCAACATACTTGGATAAGGTGTCAATATATATAATTGGTTCCTATACTAACGGACAGTTTGAAAAACACAGGCCGTTGCTTTGTTCGCACGGCTGCTTCGCGATTGGCGTTTTTGGCATTTTTCTAGGCAAATTTTTCAATCTTGTGAATATTTGCGGAGTGATAATAAGCTTCCCGGAACTCGGCCGGCTCTTCGTTTTTTATGTTGCCTGTAACTATTTGTGATAACTTCGTATACGCAATGCACGTATTAAGTACTGTACATGCCAGCTTCGTGTTTCAAAGCATAAACCAGACGGTTTAGATAATATAATACGATATGGTCAACGTAAATACGTTCCATAGCTAGTGATATATATATATATACTTGCTGACATATACATTAATCAAGGCCCAGAACCCGAAAAATATAACGGGTTCCTTTTGAGACCGCTTGAGCGAGAAATGTATGCTCCTAAAGGTTGGCGAAATATGCGAGACAAAAGTATAGAAGAGAAGACGCGGGGCCCTTTCTCTGGCCACGGAGCCACAGCTTCAGCAGTCATTATGATCGCGACAGAAAGCGGTGGTAGGTTTAGTCATTGACAGTTTAAAAAGGGCAGAGCGTGGCGACTTCCGAGTATTTTATTATCGACACGCTTCCAGCAGGACAGTGGCATTAGCCGATAAGAACGCCCAAGAACGAATCCCGTTGCAGGACACTTAAATATCAATGTTTTTTATTTTTTTTTTACTTTTTTTTGCGCCGTGAGTGTCGATAGCGGAGGTCTCAAACGCGCTGCCCGCGGTAAGCATGCGGCCCGCTACTCGTGGGGACGCGGCCCGCAGGCGACCGGCTACGAGTCCCGGTTCCCGTGTCTCGAGCACTAGAAATGACATGCGTCAAAGTGATTTCAGCTCACCGATTCATGCCGCCTCCAAAAGGAGATCTGCACTTTTAACGTTCTCACATAGTTTTTACTTAGCTACGTTCATTTGCCCTTTGCTTCGCCTAATGTTTTGTTTCTCAGCCTTTGGTAATGTACATCGATTCCGCTACTAAGCTGCATGCACAAGCTCTTTGTTAAAGGATGCATCTCGGCTGCGCGAACTCTCGATCAGCAGGAGCAGCTGCCAAAGATAGAGCTACAAGCTCGAGATTGTTGCCTTCAAATATGTATCGCCATTGAAAGACAAGCTTTTTTTCAGGGTGCTGTAAACAAAATAGTAAGGGAAGCAAGAACTGTCAAATTAACTGATTGTTTTTTTTTAGACATGTTGAACTTGATTAATTCCTGAGTGAATTGAGCAACGGGAACGACAGTGTACTTACTATTTTTTTAATGAAAATGCCAGCATGCTGGTGCGTGCGGTGCAATTTTAATTCTTGTTACTGCATCAGGTCATCAGGTCGGGGCCAAAAGTAGTTATATATAGATAACAAATCTAATGATGTCTCGGGCAAAACTGAGTTTAAAAAAAGCATATGCACGATGTCCCTTTTCTTTTAACACTCCCCACTCTTAAATGAGCTTGAGTCTACTTGCCTATAGGAAATAATAATAGCATTTAGTGTGTAATAATCAAAAGCCTGACCCTGCAAATACAGAGTGTCGTGTCCAGTTTAATACTCTCTTGAAGTAAAAAGAAAGGGGGCAACCACTGGAATATATGTCACAATTGAAATTCCATTTTTATTTTCTTTCTACTTATAGCCGATTTAGGTGCCACCAGGGGAGCACAATGTTGTATTGTGAACCAGTGAGGGCAACCTACAGCGCGAGCGCGTTGAGTGGTAATATGATCTACGCAGGAACAATAAAAAATGCAAACGTGTGCTGCGATTGATTTACAGCGGTACTTTGGCTCCGTTGGCGGAAGATGTGCTTCAGGTGTTTTTCTTTTAATCAATGTTTGCGCGCGACGCACTTCTCATTCCCGCTCCTCGGATGGAGAGCAAAGCTTACGCGGTCTGGCCATGTTGGGAGTGGGAGGAGCTGAGCGAGCGTGGGTTTAACCGGCCAAAGGACTTCCAGAACTCCGAGGTGGCGCGGTAACGGCAAATGGGGGAAGGGGGTGGAGAGGGAGGGAGCTGGGTTGAGAACGAGAGAGAGCGGTTGTGTAGAGCGTAGTGGCTTTAAGCAATCAATACCACTATCGATGCTATTGGTCGGGGAGGCTAAGTCTAACTAACAAAAGGGCTATTGATAGTCGACTATCGTAAAACTAACGAAAATATACCATCAATTGTCTACTATCGTTCTACTATCGATAGTATGATACCGATTGTCGACTATCGTAAAGCTATCGATGGGCGACAATTGTAAAGCTAGCAATAGTATTTTATTAGGCTACGGAGAGCCTGAGAAGTTCAAATAGAAAATGTTAACCTGGGAGAAAAACGCGACTGCAATTAGGAACTTTTTGATAATTATTGAGGAACAATCTAGAACCTAGAGGAAAACTATTAGGAAACGGTCGAAATTATT